ATATCGTTTGATAAAGAGTACATTTTTATACAAGTTTAAGCCAGAATGATTTGACATTTAAATATGACTTCCTTACAACTTTGAATTTAGTTGCGTAAAGCAACCAACTTCTTAACTAACTGAAAGTAAATTTGTTTGTCCTTCTCATCATTAGTCAAATATTTACCCTGGTTGATTTCTTTACTAAGCTTCTTTTCTTAGTTTTTATCCTGGTTCTCTTTTCCTTCATGGCTAAGCTGCATTCCTGTGAGTTTTCCCACTAACCTAATTGTTTCACTGAACCACGTCTGACTGTGTCATCAGTGAGAAATGTGAATCTTTTGTTTGCCTGTTTGGGAGTGAATGTTTGGCGCCAAAGTTTAACAGCAGAAATCAGTGATAGCATCCCATATTCATACTGTATGTCGCTACAAGCTAAATATGCTAAATTCCCATAGTGTGTAATTGGTATTCTGCATTTCTCTATCAATATGTCTGAAGTGGTAAATGGAATGTTTGTGACATCGACTGAGCTAATGAAAGGTCCAGTATATCAGCTCAAAATGTGCTGAAATATAAATTTTATCTGATGCAAAATGTGAATTTTGACCTGGTTCGATCCCCACAGCCTGCAGTCTGGGTCCCTGAGTAAGACCCTTAACCCCAGATTGCTCCCCAGGCAATGGCAGCCCACTGCTTCCCAAGGGGATGGGTTAAATGCAGAGAGTGAATTTCTCCAATGCGAGGTCAATAAAGTTAAATTATTATTATTATAAAAATCTGTGTTTGATTACTTTGTGGCCAAAGAGCCTGATTTTCTGACACAATCAAACTGAATTATACAGCTGTAAGTAAAAACAGACAAATAGATATTTTTTCAATGCAACAAAATGCGTTTTCTTTGCTTTTCAAAGTAACGCATTCAATTTCCAATTAAACGAATACAGACTCAGTCCAATTACATGGATACGGATGAAAAGGGTGAAAAATTAGCATCTGATGGCCCAGATTTCTGCTCATTACATTTAAACTAAATGAATAACATGAATCTGACAGAAAACTTACTTGTGCCCAAGCTCGTGAGCAATGGTGAAGGCCAAATTAAGTCCATTGTCCTCCGCTAATACGCACTTCCTCTTAGCACTGCAAGCACCACCCAGATAAGCTATACCTGAAACACAAATGAGTCATTAGGTTTTAAAGCAGACTTATGTCAACAGATTTTAAAAAAAACACTCAGCAGATCTAAAATATAATTGAAAACAGAACTACCAGAGACAGCCTGTGTATCTTTTTAACATAGTTTGGACAGTTTGGAATTTTGCAAAAAAAATATTTTCTGTAGAACTTGGGAAATTAGCATTTCTAATAATGACTGAATTTATATCACTAAACCCTTAATGCAGGGTTCTTAAAGTTGGGGTCAGGAACCCCAGGGGGGTCTAGATACACATAACAATAAGTGAATGTTAAATATTTTTATTTGTTTATTTATCAAATGTATAGGGGTTAACGAACACTTGTTTCCTCTAACTGCCCAAAAAACAATAATACCACAGACTGGTGAAGCTAGAGGAGGTTGCTCAGGTTTTGATTTGCAATAACATGCATTTAAAAGGATTGTTAAAATGCTTTTTTTTAAGACACCCACAAGCTTTAAAGAGCATTCCCTTCTTTATTTTATCTTTTTTCTTTTTGTTTATAAATTTTTCTGTCTTCCATTTTGTTGTAAAAAAAATTGGTCTACACTGCACTATTTTTCTTAACTATTTATTATATATTTTTTTTTATGTAGACATGCAGAACTATAGACCCATCTAAACCCTCCCCTTGATCAGTATTGAGAAAGTTGTGTTTCAAGTTAAACACCTTCTTAACAATAACCAGCTGATTTGATGTCTTCCAGTCAGGTTTCCGTGCCAACCACCGCCCATAGACTGCCTTTATAAAGATGCTCAATGACATCTGTATAAATTCAGGCTATGGAAGAAACACAGCGATGGTTTTATTGGAATGTCTGATACTGTTGATGGCTTGATTTTTTTTGGAGCGTCTTGAAAACTGGGTCGACCTTTCTGGTACCACTCTGGACTGGTTTAAAACCTAGCTGACAGACAAAAAGGTTCTGTGCTTCACTTATCTGGAACAATCATCCAGAAGACTGTAAAAAAACTGCAAGCCTAAATTCTTTGAAATCAAAGTAAAAAAAAAACATCTTTTTAGAGCTGCTTTTAACTGTTGAAGTTAAACTGTTAATTGAGGAATCGTTAGTTTAAGGTTGTGATCGAACTGTTTGATTTGTTTTATTACCTGATTTTATCATGTTTTTATATTTATTTGCTTTCATTCTGCTTTTATTTTGATTCTGTTTTACATCAAACTGTTATGGTGCGTTCACACCGAACACATTCTGGACATCAACAGCTCGTGCGGCGGGTCTGAGCATCAGGAGTGGAGCGTCCGAATGCGGAGCATTGAGTGTCAGAGCATCACAGCGTTTGGTGATGGAGTTCAGAAATCGGAACTTTTGCAGCCTCAACCGGAGCGTCAACCAATCAGAAAAGCTAAGCCAGGAGTTTTCTGGGAGACCGACACCACATACAAGCTGTGATCGTTTATACAGAGCTATCTGCCTATGTCTGCTTATGACAATCCATCCTTCTGGCTTTAAAAAAAGAAGAGTGGATTGTAGAATAAATTAAAATCAATATTCTGATGTGGGATTTTATTTGAGATAAGATTGTAGAAGCATAAGGAAAAATACAGGACCTAGAACTTAACTCACCGACTGTATCACAGGGTTCATCTTTATAAACACAGAAATCAGTCCTGAAAGAGAAACCAAAGAAAAACGGTGTTGGATCATTGCAAAAACACAAAGATTTTAGATAAAATGTGAAGTCATTCTATGCCAAGATTTATTTAGATTATTCATTCTAATTATTTATTTTTTATATTTTAAGAGGAGAATGATAGAAGATCTACAATAATTAAGACAGTTAACCGAAAAAATGTGATTGACAGATGACCGTTGATATTTGATTGGACGAATATAGTTGTTCGGGCTGACATATAACTAACTGGCCTGCATAAGATAACGAAAAAAAACAACACAGATTTTAAGACAGGATTTTTTTTAAAATAGAAATTTTCTAACTTTTGGGAGAATATTGTCTGATAAAGAGAACATTTATATACAAGTTTAAGCCAGAATGATTTGACATTTAAATATGATTTCCCTACGACTTGAAAAGCCTCCTAGAGGGAACCTTGTAATGAATTTAAATCATCTGGAGCAGGTTGCATACCTGGTGACCAGCACAGCAGTGTCCACCGGTGCGACGCCGTACCTCCCACCTGTAATGCGGTTGGTACCAAGGTACCGAGGGATTCCAAACTCCCGCTGTTGCCACAGACAAAAGCTCTCCAGAGACCTTTGCCCATGGTGGCTTATCTTCAAACTTTCCTAAATGACACAAATATATAAATTGATCCTCACACTATGCCATAGTCATAATCCATAAAATTAGAAGCTAACATTTCTATGTAAAAAAAAAAAACTGTAATAGTGTTTAAATTTTAAGAAACTAAAGCATTTGGGGAAATTTGTCCTGCAAATATTCACTAATTGTAGTTCTTTCCCCCTTTAAATATATTTTAAAAATATTTTTTCTAATAAAAAATGTTTTTCAAACATCTATGTCCTTCATAACATGCAGGAACATGCAGGAGGGGATGGAAGCCAAACTTACCGGGCGGCTGTGAAGCAACACCAGTTTACTGACTCTTATGTTGATCTTAACGCCCAGACTCTTGTGCTGAAACATGCTGTCAACCTGATCACAATAAGAGAGACATCTAAATGGTTGGAAATCTTCTCTAGAACCAGAGCTGTAAGGCTGAACATGCATCATTTCACGTTGTTTCAAAAATCCAATCAGAAGGAAAAGTACGGTCAGCATCCAGCTGCCATGCACGTGGGCATTGTCAGTTTCACTATAGCTCTGGTGAATTTCAATGGTGAAGTCCTCTGGAAATCTTCAATAATTGTTGTTGATTGCAGATGTGTCTAGTAGTTCCCATTGATTTTGCTTGTAAAGCGGGGAGAATGGCGCTGGGCTTACTGCACCGTGACGTCACTGCCATGATGTCAAAAGTGAGGTGTTACTATATTTGGGCAAAAATGGCCGCTCCCAGACTCTTTATTACTCACGCTTATTATTTATATTTTTTTTACTGATTAATGCTAAATTCATTAAATCAACGTGAATGTATTAGTTTTAGGTCCTTGCTGACCAGACTTTTCCTTAAACAAGTTCATTCATTTAAATATCAACAAACACCCAGTGATAAACCTCAACATTTTAAACTGGGAACTTGCCGGGGTTAATCATTATTAACCAACATGTAGATGAACATTCAATGTTACATGATTAACCTTAATTAAAATGAAACAATTCACTAGACAAGTTTTGCAATTATGAGTTCACAGAATTATTCATTATATCCAAAAATACAGTTGGTATTGCCCTAACTTTGCCTGCAAACTGCATTCTTGTGGTATTTGTCCGTTCACAAACACAATCCATCCTGTAGCTTCGAGCCTGTCGCAAAATGAGTTGGCCAGTCACGTTGCAATATTAAGGTGGGTTCACACCAAACAGGATTCTGTTTGACATGTTATCCCTATGCAGAGCGTGGCTCAAGAGCCGTGTATGCCAGAGCAGGGCAAAGGTTTGGGATTCAAGGGATGCGGAAGTTGCATTTTTGGTGAAAACAGCAACGGTACTCCTGCAAGGTGCCATTTTAATTTAGACCTAGTGTCAGGAATCCAGTTTGTGTGGTCTGTTTTTGTGTTTCCTTTCCTCCTCCCCCAGGTGGTGCCCCGTCCTCATTGGGAC